AGATAGATAGATAGATAGATAGAGATAGATAGATAGATAGATAGATAGATAGATAGATAGATAGATAGATAGATAGATAGATAGATAGATAGATAGATAGATAGATAGATAGATAGATAGATAGATAGATAGATAGATAGATAGATAGATAGATAGATAGATAGATAGATAGATAGATAGATAGATAGATAGATAGATAGATAGATAGATAGATAGAGATAGATAGATTAGAAGATAGATAGATTAGATAGATAGATAATAGATAGATAGATAGATAATAGATAGAAAATGAAGATAATAATAGATAGATAGAATAGATAGATAGATGATGGAGGAGGAAAGAAAGATAGATAGAGGAGGATGGGGAGGGGATGTGGAGGAGGAAAAGGAAGAGGAGGAGGATGGGAGGGGATGTGGAGGAGGAAAAGGAAAAGGAGGAGGATGGAGAGGGGATGTGGAGGAAAAGGAAGAGGAGGAGGATGGGGAAGGGATGTGGAAAGGAAAAAGGAGGAGGAGGGGATGGAGAGGGGGATGTGGGAGGATGGGAAAAAGGAAGAGGAGGAGGATGGGGAGGGGGATGTGGAGGAAAGGAAAAGAATATAATGAATAGGAGGAGAATGGGGAGGGGGATGTGGAGGAGGAAAAGAAAGAGGAGGAGGATGGGGAGGGGGATGTGGAGGAGGAAAAGGAAGAGGAGGAGGATGGGGAGGGGGATGTGGAGGAGGAAAAGGAAAAGGAGGAGGATGGAGAGGGGGATGTGGAGGAGGAAAAGGAAGAGGAGGAGGATGGGGAAGGGGATGTGGAGGAGGAAAAGGAAGAGGAGGAGGATGGGGAGGGGGATGTGGAGGAGGAAAAGGAAAAGGAGGAGGATGGAGAGGGGGATGTGGAGGAGGAAAAGGAAGAGGAGGAGGATGGGGAGGGGGATGTGGAGGAGGAAAAGGAAGAGGAGGAGGATGGGGAAGGGGATGTGGAGGAGGAAAAGGAAGAGGAGGAGGATGGGGAGGGGGATGTGGAGGAGGAAAAGGAAGAGGAGGAGGATGGGGAGGGGGATGTGGAGGAGGAAAAGGAAGAGGAGGAGGATGGGGAGGGGGATGTGGAGGAGGAAAAGGAAAAGGAGGAGGATGGAGAGGGGGATGTGGAGGAGGAAAAGGAGGAGGAGGAGGAGGATGAGGAGGAGGAAAGGAGAGGAGGAGATGGGGAGGTGGAGGAGGAAAAGGAAAAGGAGGAGGATGGAGAGGGGGATGTGGAGGAGGAAAAGGAAAAGGAGGAGGAAGAGGAGTTATATGAAAGAAAAATGAATGAATAATTAGTGATAAAAAAACAAATTGAAAATGATAAAAATCATTACTCTTTCAAGAATAACATTATAATCGTAAGAATAAAATATTATTATTATATTTTGTTCATTAACAATAAAATGAGAGTGAAATTTTATTATTGAAAATTGAATGAAGAGAAAAAATTTTTTTTCTTCTCTCTCTTTTTCTCCCCTTTTAGTCTAAATTCTGTGTTATTTTGTTAAAATATAAGGATACGAAATTTTTCATAAGAAATAATTTAAAAAATTCAAACGATTTCTTCTGCTATTTTTTTTCTTGCTTAGAAAAAATATCAAATGTGATATGTTAAAAATAAATACAAAATTAGCAGTTTGTCTGAGAAGGTAATCACTACTTATGTTTCTACCAAATGTTACATTTAAAATCTTTCTTCCCTTCCACTTTTTCTCAAATTTCAAAAATGTCATTCAATTTCAAGACTCTTTATCTTTATAGTGGAAGCTTATGAAATTGAAATAGGATTTTTTGTTTGTTGAATTATTGTTGTGTTGCTATCATATTATGTCTGAAGTAACAGGAAATAGCAGGAAAAGAAATTTTTTGTATTATGTTTAGGTTTCAATTTAAATTTTATATTGGTTTAAATTTCACATTTTGCAATTTAAATTTCACACTATATTTATTATTGCAAAATAAATCTGGAAAGATAAGCGAAGATTTTAAATTGAAATTTGAATAATTTAGGCGTGGACGAATTCTGTCATATATATAATATGTCTGAAATAGCAAGAAATTATTATTTAAAACCTTTCGTTTACTTAAAATAATAAAACATTTCTATCTGACCTTCCTTCTCTCTACTTTTTTTATAATTCTAATTCGCATGAAACTGATTAATTTACATCGTATGGAAACTAAAAAAAATAATGAAATATTTAGCAAATTAATGACTGATGAATATTAAATAATAACATCATGTTTTATTAGTTTTAAAAAATCATTTTTCCTTTTTTTCCTCATTTTTTGTGTATTTGTGATGTAAATTATGATCAATTAAGTTTGATAATTTATTAATTAAACATTTTTTTCTAAGGCAAAAAAAAAATAAACAATATAAATATAAAATAAATTACATGACAAATCAGCTTAGTAAATGCAAAATACTAAGCGCAACTATGCAATTGTCATGAAATTATCTTTGGAATAATTATTATATAAAATGATACAGATATGAGTTTAACGGTATATTTAATAGCAATTTATGATTATATCATTTATGCAAATGTGTTACAAAAATACATTGTAGTTGCAAGCGGTACTAAGTGTAAAACCATTTCTTATTTATTTGTTCAAATCAAAAAAGATTGTAGGCCAATCGATGTTCAACTTTTATATCATTTGGTTCATTTCATATATATGTATGTAGGGTGCGTGGAAGTATGCAAAAGCAATCTCATCCTTGCTTGAATCATTTAAATTTGTAGAATTGTTCGTGGCAAATGTAAACAAATACTTCTGTTCAGTACTTCATCGAAGAAATCAATAAATCATAGATTGAAAAGCTGAAATATACAGCAAAGTAATAAGTAGAATGTGTAGGAAAAAAAAAAAAAAACGAAGAGGAAAAAAGAAAAGAGAAACCATGAATATAAAAGAACAGCTCGTTTTCAATTTAAAAAAAAAAATCGAAATTTAATGAATAAGAAATTCTTGGCCAATTTTAACGCAGCAAAAAAGAAAAAAAAAACATAGCATAGGGACAGGAAACAATAGATAAATAAGAAAAGGAAGTATTTCCCGTGCTTGCTTGTGCTATCATGAAATAACACTAAACATTGAACAGATATGCAACTTCATGATGCCAATTATAGCTTAAGCATGCCTGATACTTGGGTAATTTTATGACATTTAATGTGACAATAATGGATACTAAGCAAAAAAAGTTTTATGGAGATATAAATTAGGGAAGAGAAAACCAATTTAATTAGCACTATAAATTTAAAACGAAAAAAAAAAAAAAAAGAAAATAAGGAAATGATTTAAGGGAAAAAGATAAACCAAAGGATGGAGATCCACTCCAAATTCGTAATGCTATGGTATTGAAAATAAGTGTACAGACTGAAGTTACAATACGACTGGCACGCTACATTTTCCTTTTAATGTAAAATGTAAAACAAGAAATCATCTCAATATAATAATAAATACAAATCCTTACTGGATTTGTATTAAAAGTAAAATGAGTTTCTGTAAATTCATTCAACCGTTTTCACTATATTCCGAGGTAGAATTCGAAAAAGAAAGGAAAAGGATAAAATAATTTAGGTTAAAAGAAAAAAAAAATTTTAAAAAAAGCCAACTTCGCAAAGCAAAAAAGTAGTTCAAATCGTTCCAACGTTTTACGCATATAGTAGGATCAGCATGTAAACAAATAAGAGATGGCTAAGGTAGATTGATAACACAAACGTAATTTTTTTTTTTTTTTTTTAATACTCAACCACCAATAAAAAAGAGACTAATTTTTAAGAATGACGAAAAAGTTTAAAAATGTAATTACAAACATTATGAAAAATTCTGAACTTTACATAAAAAACAACAATATGAATCAACAAAATACACATGTTCTATTTCTTCGTCTGTTAGAAAATTGATATCTTGCATTCGTATTCTTTTCTATACTAAACTATTAGTGCAGTATTTCATGCATAAATAAGAATTTCTTGCTCGAGTAATTTCAAAAAAAGAAATTCGAATGGAAGACTGGAAAATTCTGTTGCAAACTTTCCAATAGCATTTAAACAAATAGATGCAGAAAAAAAAAAAGAAATAGGGATGCAAGGATTATTTTAGCTGATCAATTTGAGATATTCCTTTAATGATGTAAGTTCCTGGTTTAATACAATAAAGAGAAGGATAACATCAATAGAAAACAACAAAAGCTGAAATTCTTATGAATAATTTAATCGAAAGTTCCAGGATCTTCTAAATATATGGCTCAGTTGTTAACTTGTACATTAATGAAATGAATAATGCAATAAGCGCTACTTTACACTACCTTTCAAAGTGAATTCCTGAAAGGATATTACGACAGATTTCAGAAAAAATTGTAAACAGTACAATAATTAACGACTATTGTCATTCATTTTAATATCCATCAACGGTTATTAATATATGATTCATCTTTCAAAAACAGTGTAATTACGTAGTCAACGCTGAATACAACCATACATGTATTCTTGCAGTCATAATTTCCAATATCAATCGTATCACTTCATTTTATCTATCAGCAAAGATGTTAAACAACCACCGGCTAATATGGTAGAGCTTCAAACTAGTCTACGTAACAATCATATCCAAATGACAATTCGAAAAAAAAAAAGATGATATCCTTACATAAATACAAGAAAAAAGAAAAAGAGCTGACATTGAGAAAAACACGATGAGTTAACTGATTCTAAGCAGATAACAACTAAAAACAAATACATCCAATTAAAATTCTGAACACATTAGTTCTACGCAGACTGTTTTAAGCATTTTTTACCAATTATTCACGTTTACCCGTGTATGAGTGCTTGGAATTGTAAACACACGTTTATGCTAATTCAAAGACCTGGTTGAGAAACAGTGACAAAATGCTTTACAGAACTCCTGTGGCAAACCAATCAATAATAATGCTTCTCCTACATAATTACACATATATATGTAGAACACAGGCATTCTTGCTTATGAATGTGATCTTCTGGAATACCTGTCTCGGTGATGTCTTTCGTCTGATCGTCTCCTTTCACGGCTTCGTGAACGTGAATTATGCCGTTCCTCAAACCTAAAAATTAGAACATATCATAACATGCATTTGACAAACTGAGCTCATATTATCATCGATGTAAATGTTCTGCTCGTATGTATCAAATAAACTATTAAAACAATACCTTCGGCTTCTTTTAGTACGTGATCGAGAGCGTGATCTCAACCTTTTGTGACTTCTTGAACGACGTCGTTTGTGATAAGACTCTCCACTGCTTGACCTTCGACGATAACGTTCGGGAGTTTGGGATTCACTTCTATCACTATCCGATCTAAAATACTTATCTTGATAATTTAATAAAGATAAACACGGAAATCAAATTTTTTGAACTTACGCATGGCCAGTGCCTTTTTTCGTCGAATCTTCCCTACTCCTACCACGTCGTCTGAAAGAAATATGTAAGAAATTGAAAATAACAATAAATTTTATAAATAAAACTCAGTGCCCTTACACTGAATTTGTTTCTTAAAAAAAGAAGGCCAATGATCAAATGATCATGGGGGGAATTTATAAAGTTAGAATGACGAAGTTCCATAAAGAAGGTAGTAATATATATCAAACATCTCCTGTGGAAATTTCAAAGAAAAAAACCCGTTACCGTTTCTTTAGACGCTCCTTACTTCGTGATTTCTTCCGTTGTTGTTGCTTCTTTGACTCGCTAGCATGCTTTTCCTTCTTGTCTCTTTTATTGCCTTCATCAATATTGGAGCCTAATTTCTTTTCATCTGGAAACGTTTAACTGAACATTGGAGATCACGTGTGTAGAAAATACAAAATGTAACATTGGTAAGATAGCCGTAGTTAAAACATGGTGAAATCTAGCACACATTACTTTCTGAGTATTTTTTAATAGACAAATCCCTAAAAGAGAGTAAGCCAGATTATGTAACAAATGCTATATTACATAAAATTAAACCAAAAAAGTTCCTGGATTTTGTTAAAATTGCTCCATGCTTTTGTAACATATACATACACATACACATACACACATACATACACATACACACACACACACACACACACACACACACACGAATAATGCAAGAGATGCTGTCTAATCAAGCAGTACAGAATGCACATAAAATGAACCTCCAGCACTTCAACCTATAATTCTCAAGACAATGACCATTGCCACGAAAGAGAAAATTTTTGAAAAAACCGACTGCATTGAAACTCAACCTATTTCCTTGTATGCATCAATTTCATTCTTCGTAATCGCAACACGTGACGACGCATCATCGCCATTCTTCTTTTCCTGGACAGCAGTTTTTTTCTTTTCAACACCTGAAAATAAAAATTCTCAGTTTAGCCATACTTATAAATGCTGCCACAAACACGTGAAAGTAATTCGGAAGTTAATCCATACCCAGAAATTCCATGGGTGCCAAGCCTTCTGAAATAAGCATAAACGAAAAAACCTAAACCCCTTAAAATATTACTCTTATTGAAAAGGAAACCGCATATTTCTCAAAAGGTTCTTAAGTTTATTCATTTCCGTGGGGCAACATTTTTTTTTATTTTTGTTTGAAAATTGAAAAGATGGCACCCACGGTAGGTGATTGGTTTATCCTTCGTTTCGAACTGAAGATGTATATGTATTAGTGAGGTGTGTCACATGGGCTGAGATGCATAGTAATACCTTGGGAGGATTCTGTAGAAGAGAATCCATCATTGCTACTTAACTTGGCCTTACTCTTAGCACCCGATGATAGTACTGGAAGAAGTGGCACACTGAACAAAGCATCATCCTCATTGCTACCTTCATTACCATCACCAATAATATTTGACTTCGAGAATTCTTCGCCTTTCGTATTACTATTGGATTCGTCCGACTGCTTCATATCAGTTTCTTCGCTCGATTCATCATCGCTTTCAGCACCTGAAATAATCGCAATTTTGAACTAATGAATGAAATAAGAGATTCATATATGATGTTAAGTTAGAGATCGGCAAATGAATTGTAATTAGAGGCAATGTCAGAAATGTGGCTAAATCTAAATTATCATATTTTGCAAGAGGACTGAAAGCTAGGACGATTGAGCTTGACGAAGGTCATAAGTCGTACCAAATGAAAACAAATGACAAACAAACAAACTCGAACCGTCACACTAGCTGGATGTATGCTCAAGGTTGAAACAATCAAGGACTTGATCTACTCAAACTGAGTACGTTATTTCATTCATAAAAAGACTTAAGATGTGGAATGGAGAACAGCGTCCTAATCATAAAATACAGACATTCAACAGGACGCAAATTTAATTTCGACTGGCAACAATTTGGCAAATACGTATTGAACAGTGCAAAACACGAACTCTCAGGACAGAATTACCGGAATATGGTCAGAATGAATAATTAAACAGTTTAGTCAAAAAGAACAAAAAGGCGACACAAAATGTAATAAAAGCTTACCAAGTGTACACAAAGCGGCGAGAGCCGAGCTTTGGGCGAGAACTTTTGGCTGGGCTAAACATATATTCAACTTCATTAATCGATCGTTTTCAAAATCGAAATTGCGACGTTACAATGTGGAAGTCACAGAAGAAAGCGACTTGTTTGTAAGTTTTAAAATGAACATTAATAATTTAACCTGCTACCTTGGAAACTGGGATATTTTTATTCTGATCACCGATGCCAGAAAAAAGCAGAAATTGTTGCAGGAACAATTTCAAGTGACGAATGGCCGAAAAAAAAAAGCTGTCAACCACTTGTTGAACGTTAATTTTTAAAATTGAAAATATGTACCAGAACGTTTAGCAAGTTCAATGTGTTCCCTAGCAATACGATTCAACTCATCATCCGTTGTTTCCAGCAAAATTTCAGTCATGAAACGTCGCAAAAGCATCAGCTGCAAACAAGTTAGATTAGCATACATTATTGAGTAACGGATGTACAAATAATCATGAAGATTTGTCTTTTACTTTGTCAGAAATTTAATTTTACATTTCAGACAATCCCAAGCATCTGAATGAGAATCAATCTCAAACCTTTACTACAAAAGAATACTATGTCGCGAAATGAGAAATATCCAACTTGAAGTGACCAACTTTAAGACAGTATTAAATACAGTGAAACATAACAATTCGCGAAATAGCAACTCTTCTGTTAAATAATAAAGAAAATTATTGCAGTACGGCAGTAAAGTAAGTATAAAGCATTCAACAATGTAACAAATATAAGATATAGAACAATTAATTACACATAAGTGCTACCATGATTTACGATTCAATAGCAAATACTTCTCAACTTCCTATCTAATTCTCTTCGAAGACAATGAAAGAATAAGCGTAAAAATGTCTAGTACTTACTGCATCTTCTCGTGTCTCTTCTTCGGTTCTACAATCAATTTCCGTTGTGTCCTTAGACGGCTGTTCCTGTTGCTTCTCTAATTTCTTTTTCTGGAGGAACACTGGTTCTTGATCAAGTTTGGCTCTTTCTTTTGCATCTTCGTTCCCGTTCTCGTCTTCGCTACTATCAGAATCCTGAAACTCGTCCAGAACGATGTCATCATCATGTATTAATAAAAACTGTTCTCTAATATAAATTTCAAATACATTGCGCAACAATCAAAAATCATGATCCTACAAATTTTCCCAATCCTTTAGCAGCACGACGAGCTTTTGCTGCTTCTTCAGCAGCTCGTAACTTGGCTTCTTTAGTTTGTTTTTTTTGCCTTTCTTGCTCAGCTTTTTCTAAACCTTCACGGATCCAGGCTGGTAAAGCTTTTCGTGTCTGCTGATCTGAAAAACATGATTTTAACAGTATCGGAAAACAGTACGCTGCTGCTGTACCTACGCCACTGTCATTTGAAACTACAACCATGAAGGACAAAAGTAATAAGTCACACTGCTAAAACCAACCGATGAAAGGCAAAGGATGAGAGTTTGAAGGTGAATCACGACGTGAAGGATGATACCAATTTGGTGGTGGCGCCCAACCAGGACCTGGCTTAAGCCAATGAGCCATAGCACCTTCTGGAACTGTTTCTGAGTCATCCGAATCATTATCACGCCTACCACTTTTCTGTTTCTCGTCCCATTCTTTATAATAATGTGAATACTGAAAAATAATCATTTAAAAAATAAATAATGTCCACTTATTCATTTATAAACTTGGCTTGTAGCTGGCTTACAGTATACACAGACATTTAGCTTACCTCCATAAACTATTATTTAAGTTATTTCAACGAGATGATATCTGCCCTACATCATGAAGCAACAGTTGGAAAATATAAATAGGTTAGAGTAACATAAAATGCATTAATAACGTGTGTCAAAAATGGTACAAAAAAACTTGCCTCACCCCCTTCCTCATCGTCAATTCCTAGCTTTGCTTCACCGTAAGGAGGCGCTGGCGGAAAGGGACCAGGTGGCATCGGTGTGGCGCCCATCCATGGCGGAACTGGTGGCATAAAAGGAGGAAATGCGCCGGCAGCTGGAGGTCCGAAATTACTTGGCGGTAAGGGTGGTATCCAACAAGGCGATGGTGCAGCAAAATTAGCATCTGAAACTTTCATAGATAAAATAAGTATATGGAGACCAAGCAAGAGCAAATAACCAGGCAATATCATATAAATGTATACAGTTTCACTAAAGTTTTTAAGTTATACTGAAGCAAACAATACAATTCGAAAACGTACCAACAGGCATAGTAGGCAAATACCCACCAGGTGGCAAAAAAGACCCATTTACCGGTAGTCCATCGGGTGCCGGTGGCGGATGCGGTGGTGGCGGCTCCTTGCTTGGTGGTGGCGGTATAGAATCATCAGATGTTACTGGAGGAACTTCTCCGGCATCGCGCATTTGCATCCATTTTTGTGCTAATTGCGCCCAATTCACTGCAGTTGATGGATAAACATGAACTGTTAACTTCAAAAATAAATGCAGTACAAAAATTTTTTTGAATTTTTGTTGTTTAAATCTACTTTATTATGTGAAAGCGCTTCTGATATCGACATAGTGCCAAATTCCCAAAGCATAAAGCATAAATAGATTTCTAATCATCCGAAATCAATTCAATAAATTCATAATGGATGATTACGAAAAAAGACAGTGCGATAAAAGAGATCATTATCCTTATTTTCCCACCATTATCATATCAGTGTTTTTAATGCCCAAATTGATCAAGTCCAGAAAGAATCAGTAGAGAAAAGATGGAAATGAGTTTTTTAACTTCACCTGTGTGTACTTTGTCCGTGATTTTCAAATTTCAACTTTTCGTTACATCTCAAACTGATTTAATTGGTCATGCCATACTTACCTTCTGAATTCGGTATATTTTGATAATAGGATGCATCCAACCACTTCGCGTTATTTTCTGCCATTTTCATGAACTAACAATATATCACCTGATCTCATGGATTTCCACGTGTATTCTTCAATTCAGGAAAGTTTTAGGTTGAATTTTAATCAAACTGATAATTACATCGTTAGGTACAAAAAAGAAACCAAATAAATATCAACGTTATAATTACCATCAACTTAACACAACTACACCTTTGCGTTTCATGATAATATAGAATATGTGACGATATATTTACCATACGGTTTAATGAAATAGGAGACAAAAGAAGAATGAGAAAGACAATATAAAAAAAAAAGGAAGGCAAAGTAATAAAGTGAAGTATAGATAGATTGCAATAATAAATGGAACAAGGACAAAAGATGTAATTAATTAGTGTCCACAATTAAAAGTTATTCCAAAAATTTCTGAAAAGGATATGGAATACTGTTTTCATCATTTTGGTATGGAAAGAGCGAATGTGAAGAATTAATTCAAAAATTCACAAGTTTGAAGCTAAAAAGACCATTGAATTATCACACAGATAAATAAAAAAAAAAGGAAAAAGAGCAAAGTTAGGAAGGAACTAGCAAATAGAGCTCAACTGATAAAATCTTGACATGTAATTCTGTTAATCATCAAAAAAATGAAAAATATATGCACTAATAGTGTATCAATAGATATCTCAGCAAGTAGACCATCAATCTATTACTGAATATACAAAAAGTGAATGAGATTCAAAAATGACCGAGTAATGAAAAGAATCTGAATGAACTCATTAGGAAAGTTCAAAAATTATGTAGTAGCATAAAAATGATAAATATATTTGAGAGTAATGTATTTCAAGTCTGCCTATCATAAAGTTTACTTCCTATCAGATTTGTCACTTAGCTGAGCAAATTGATACTTCTGGATGATAACTTGTTAGATAGTTCTAGACAAGCAAAGATCAATTCTGACACATTCCATTGTTCTTTCATACGTCCTACACATTACTGCTACTAATATGGGAGTCACAGAAATACCCAGACTTTAATCAATCACCGAGACTAACCCACACACATCACATCCCAATCCATCCCTACAGTTTTCTAAAGTGCTCTTTGAGACAAACCAACTTCAAACCACTAATCTCACTTATCATCTCAAATACACTCTCTTTCATTCTACCACCGTTTGCACTCTCCACAAATCACACTCTCTTTCGCTTCGCTACACATAATAACCAATAAAGTGATGAGTGACAAATTTTTTGAAAAATGTATAATTGCAGATACGATCCCACTTTTGCTACCTTTTTACGAGGAATCAGGACTCTCTCTCTCCCTCTCTGTCTCTTTCACTCTCGAAAGGAGAAGCTCTCTCAAAATTTCCATTTTTCACATTTGTTGTTATGCTTGAGATAATTACCCTCATTGGATGATAGAATTTATGTCGAGAATTTGAAATGAATCGAGAATGTAAGATATATTCAAGCAAAAGAAATACAACAATATAATTCATATTGATCATACAATGATTCATTCAAAAGAGTCGCTACATTTATGATATATGCGGTGCATACTGAATTCATCGAGAGTTGCTGTATCCACAAAATTAATCGAAATGTAGAATTTAATGCTTCAAAGAATCTTTTAAAAAAATTTCTTAATAAACTGAGAAATTTCTCTAATATGAATAAAATATATTAAATGTTATAAGGAGAAAATGGAAGAGATGAAAAAGAAATTTTTTTTTCATGCGCTATCTCGAATTTAATGTAGATCAATACGAAGCTAAATTTTTGCATATTCACTCTTTCTCCTTCTATCTTTCTATCATTGTATAACCAAAATCCAACATTTTCATTACTAAGAATAAAAGATAATATGTTAAACACTATTTTATCCGCTTATTTACCTTCCTAAATATTACTGACTTGAATTTCATAAATAACGGTTAAAACGAATCCAAGCACAATTACTTTCTCTTTTTATTGCCGGAATTTTTCAACTGTCAAAATTCTCATTAATATTAATTCTATTGGAATGATGAAGTATTCAATTATTGTGGGAGAATTTCTTGCGTTACATGAGTTTGTTTTAGCCGATTTATTGGTTTATTGATAACTATAAGAAATAAAAATACATCAGGCAGAATGAAAACGAATCAATATGGAGAAAAATTCAATATAACGAATGGTATTCTGAAACACTTCTGTTATGATTCTAAATCATTGCACATCATTTTTCATAAACTATCATGTAAAGGAGCCACAAATAAATCAAAGTGCTTTAAGCACTGCCAGTATATATCAGATAGTTTTCATTTTAATCTTTTTGACCAGATTAGCTGAGCTGGTTTGGTGAAGTAATCCCGTGAAATAATCCCGTCACCACAATCTTTTCGAAAGAACACTATCAGAGATAATTATGGAGCAATGGCAATCATTTATTCTATTTTTCTTACTCCTCAAATCGCCCAACTTTTTTTATGCTTTGTACTTGCAAATCATAATATTAACACTGACAAAATAAAAGATACCGGATGAATGGGTTGCAAATATTTTTTGCACATATAAGAAGGGTGCAAAGGAAATGTTTCAGACAGAAATATTCAGGGAATTCTGAAAAATGTAATCAAAAAAAAAAAAAAAACTCTAAGCAATTATATTGAACCATGCCCTTACAAAAGCAAAACTTGAGGATATGCAAGGAAAAACATAAAACAATTCATTGCGGTGGCTGTTTCAAATATAAAACATGAAAAGAATATCGAACATTATAATGACTTCGATACTTATTTCCCACTATATTTGTGGTAGATTACATAATATCGAATTTATCCCCTATTTATTCTCACAAATATTTCTCATTTCTTCTGCTAGAAAATGGCAGAAACCAAAATCATACAGTGAACTGGAAATTAAAACATTTTTTGATTGGGGTTACTTTATAGTTATAAACTATTCATACAAATTCTATTAATTCTCAAAAATACTCAATAAACAGCATCCATGAGGAAGATTAAATTCCACACTAAGTTTACTTCTACTTTATTCTAATGCATTAGAAATTCTGCTATTCTCAAACGCAACAAGTACCTAAGAAGTGAGAATACATAACACACATGAGAATACATTTTGATATCACAACATACAAACCTAAAGTGGAAAAAATTTACTTTTAACTCATTACTTCAGAGTCATAAATTCCCGGACTTGTTAACGTCCTCGCTCTTCGTTTTCTCAATGTCATTCCCAAACTTCGTTCCGGTACAACATGAGGTCTTTTTCTGACTGGTGATTTAGTCGCTTGTCGACTTCTACGACCACTTTGTTTTGGTATACGCTTTGCACTAGTACTTTTTCCCGCTTCACTTCCTCTTCGACCTTCTTCAACATCCTAAAGACAAATACGGATATTAGCACAAAAAATGCTTAAAATATGCTATGCTACAATTAACTTCTTTTCTTTCAAAGTAAGTGTAGAAGAATCGATGAAAACAACGTGCCGTGGTCGCTTCAGGAAATAACAAAGACTCTCGTTCGTCGTTAACCGAATTTTGTTCACAATCTTTTACTGATAGTGTTTGCAAGGGACATCTTGGATGATGTGAAGGATGGATGTCACCAATCAATATGCCATCGACAATTTCAACTTGCGCAATCTTAAAAAAAAATTTTTTTTGATAACCAATAATTTCTTTTTCTGAATTAGATTTTTGTCAATAATATAGATCAGGAAAAAGGACATGAATTTTTAATTTTTTACATTGCCTGATAAATTGTTCGACAACTAAGCATATATACATATATATTTAAGACAATTACCAGAGAAATAAATTTAACTTGTCGACAACAAATTATTTATGTCCCAAAACAATTACTAACAGTCATTAGTGACATTATGCAGGTATTTTTTATTATCTTAACTTTGCTCTAAAAAGAATCTGTTTGTTGTGTAATAAGCATTTTTATGTGGGTGAATCAAGAGATCACCGCATTTGTCATGTATCACTTACTGGATCTTTTTTGGTTTTATGTAATAAATCACAATCGGCGCATTTATATAATTCGCGATTTTGCGCTGTTTTATTCAACCGATAGACCCGATAACCTTCGCCTTCTACAACGGCAATGTTCATATTTCCCTGCTCATCAACTAGCCTTGTATACGGTTCGTTTCCATCTTCAGCACTACATTCCCGCTGCGGTGGTACCTCATAATCTACACTGTAATAAATACCAATATGTCAGCTCTACATTTTTCATTTTCAACATTTTTTTGCCGCCTAACAAATTTCTCCCTAAAGCTCCTCATATCACAATTAACTAATGAAACACACGCACCCTGGAATGTAAGTGCCTTGTAATGGTGAAACAACAAAGCTAAGGCATTTCTTATTTCATCTAACCATTAGCTAATTTTTCATGCGCATGTGTAATATTTTCCTAAAACATAAACCAACAGGCTTCATAAACCAAAACAATCAAATCGATCCTATCCGAAAGACCATTCTTTGATATAAACACCCATTCTGCAAGTAAACAAATCTGACCTGTTGTCCGGTTTCTGCTTGTTTTCGTCTACATCGTTCACTTGCTATAAATAAACTATTTTGGATGTATTGAAAAAGGCCACTTGCACAAAATGTTAATTATTTTGCTTAATCAAAACATCACGAAACATGTATGGTTTTTACAGATAGCAGTGGGATCCCTACAATAATATTTTAGCAGAAATTCTGTTGAAAATTCTACACACTATGTAAAAATTAATACTCGTAAAATACAAAACAGAAACCTTTATATTTCACAAAAAGACTTACCTTTTCCATAGGTAAAGTAAGGTTTGACGGATTCAGTGCAACATATTCGAATAACTGTTTCATAGCTTCGTCACAAGTAATATGTTGAGACTTCAAACAATGAATCAATCTTTTAACTTCTTCTTTTATTTCGTTTCGAGATCTAAAACAAACACACCATATCGTATCTTATAATAAAAATGAACTAACGTTAAATCGCATTATCACTACATGAAAATGTGTTGTAATAACTGG